CAGATTATGTGGCCCCTTCCAGAAGAACTCCCCCGCGCTTGCCAGAGCAGAATGTACTCACAGTGCTCGAGAAGGAAATCAACATAGGCTTCCCCAAATCACTTCCTGAGTAGGTGGGCCCCCCCAAAAAAACGGGGCTTCCCCAAATGACTTCCTGAGATGCCCCCCCCCCAAAAAAAAAAACGCAACTTCGCTCTTCCCACAAAGTAGTGTACAGTGCTCGAGAATGAAATCTACATGGGTTTTTTTCAAATCACTTCCTGAATAGATGGCCCCCCCGGAAGGAAAAAAACAGTTTTCCTAAAAAGTGGCTAAAGTCAGTTGGAGCTCTGGAAGTGAGAGAAATTTTCGAACCCCCGCACTCCGCACTCCTTACTCCCGGATCCGACGAAGCTCGCAACTTACAACCCATCTCTTCGCAAAGCCCCGATCTCTTTGGGACCTTTGCGGCTGCAAGGGTTCTTGTTGCGCATCCATCACTAGGCACTGGGCCATATATCTTTCATGCACCCATTCTACCTTCCTTTGTAGGCTGTCGGAGTCTTCACAAAAGAAACTACCTTACATAGATAAATTTGCCCAAAGGGTGATGTCCAAAAACATAGGCAAGCTTCTTCTCCTTCTCTGTTGTCGCAGGTCCCAGCAAAAGCGTGCCGAAGGCATAGCTGAGGTACGCGCACACCACGACCTTCCTGGACAGAGTCTCTCTCGATCCGACTTAGAACCGCAACGATGTCTCCACCTTTGGTTGAGAGGGATAATGCCGGAAACCAAATCGGCGTAATTTGCAATCCTTTTGGCTGCTTCCCATCGCTTCGGAACATGGAAGCACAAGGCCATGGCAGGTCGAACATGGGCAGAAACCAAAGGAAGCCGAGAAAATTATTCTTTCCAGGTGTTGTTAGCTTGCTGGCCGCCACCTGAAGGAAAACCAAAGGCAACATGTCAACCGCCTAAGTTAACTTGTTGCTGGGTGAACGCAAAATGCAGCAAACCCAAAACAGGGCTTCAAAAGGTGAAAAAGGGTAGCTGGGTGTGCCTCAAAATAGGGGAATCCCTGAACAGCATGGTTGATTTCCGCTTGGTTCCCTTCAAACCAACCCAAACCGGGCATCTTCAACAAAGGACACCCATGCTTCCCAACGCATTTACCAAGGGACACCTGCATTTTGTTCAAACTCTTAAAAGCAGCGGGTCTTTGGAGGGTTCCCCATCCCCCAAGCAAAAAATATGGTCCTTTTGGAAGCCACGTCAACAAGGGCCATCTGTTTTCTGGCAAAGCAACCATAAAGGACCCTATGCCCCCCCCCACCTTCCCCCCCTCCCAAAAAAAAGCGCCTCCTAAAAACAATCCCTGTCCCACCGCATGTCCTTTTGGGGTCCCTCTAACTTGGCTGCTGTTGGCCCCTCTTGCAAAGAGTTCAACTTTGTCTGGGTCCAATTTGGAAATTCCGAACTGTTTCAACCCAAAACTCAAAGTCCAAAGATCCGTTCGCAAACCGCCATGAAGTTTAACCAGCCCCCCAAACCTTCACAACTCTTAATATGGCTGCAAAAACTTTGTTTTTTGCAGCCCCCTACTAAAAAAAATGAACAGGACCAAAAAACTAAAAAACCAAAAAAAGCACGCCAAGAACCGTAAGGAAAAGTCGGTACTTTCAAAAAAAGTGAAAAACATGCCGAGCTCGCTCAGTCCAGGCGTCATGAGGACCAAGCCCACCGCCCAAACCGCAATCTTCGGGGAGCGCAGAGACGTGCCCGTGAGGAACAAGGCGCACATGCCGAAGGGAGCCGTGAAAAGGTCCACCAGGTTCCTCGTGTCGCAGAAGCAAAAACAAATATCCTTTGTGGTCGTTTTGGTAGCAAGTTATGGTCGATGGGATATGTCGCACCATTCCCGCCAAGCTGACGGCGATGGGTTTGCCTCGGAAAAGAAGCCTCCAAACAGGTGGTTCCTTTCCTTGACCCTTCCTATTATAAACTCCCTGAGACCAGGTAGACACCAAACCACCTGCTACAATTGGCCAACACTGGAGTCTCCTTTAAACCTATTAATATTTCGGACTAAATATGACACATAGTCTCTTCATATTCTAGGTCCTCCAGTAGAGAGCTTAGAATAAGGGTACCAACGTTTTTTTTCTGTAGTCTATTTTAGTAGGGAAACCCTCCCAACCAAAAAAGGGGAGAGAAGGGCACTACTGGGGGACCTAGTTTATTGTAGGTGTTGGTAGCAAGCAAATGGTCCTGGTTGACCTGGCTGTTTCATCATCTACCGGGGCCATCCATTTCCGCAAAAGCACACCCATGAGCATAACATATAACATACGGCGTAAGTGTTTGTGTGTGTCTGTCTGTCCAGATGGGCATGTGTCAAAAAAGGAGCACCCCAAAACTGGTTTCCCTTGAAACCAGGCTTGAAGCGGGTATCCTCAAATAACATATACCCGCATATATATATATATATATATATATATCTGTGTACACACATACACATGCACATTTCTACCTAGTGGTTCCGTGGTCCTTTGCTGAACGTCTTCCACTTTTGGTGGGATATGTCACACCATTCCCTCCAAGTGCTGCACATTTTGACCGCCGCAGAAAAGAAGCCTCCAAACAGGTGTTCTTGGAAGTTTCTCTCCAAACCAACTAACTCAAGACACGGGTCACTGAAGTTCCCAAATCACAAGTTGATCAAATGTCTAGTGGTTTCCAGTGAAACGATCGCCACTTTTGGAGGTTCAAAAAAGAGAAATGGCTCGCAAAAGGACAACCCACCCATTTTGGCTCACTGCCTGAGTGGATGGACCTTCAAAAGAAACCAAACTTTGTGGCTTGCCACCAAAAATGCCGAAGCCCAAAACGTGACCAAAGTCCATGACCTGAGAAGTTCAATGGACCAAGGAAGGTATGAACGGGAATCAAGAAAGCGGTGGGGAACGGAGTCACTTCCCTGTGTTCTCCCTCCTTGCCCCAATTGTCTGTTTCCCATCGCCACTGGGGTCTGGGAATCCTTGGTTTCTGTTGGCGCCCCTGCAACAAGTTGACAAGTTGTTCACTTTTGGGGGGGGGTTCGTGGAAAAAACCCAACTTGATTTCAGCCAAAAAGTTTCAGAGTCTAAAGATCCGCTGCCTAGCAGTCAAAGAGAGATTTAGGATGCTTGGATTAAACCGTTCAGATTAAACCTCTACAGATGAAACTTTTCAGAGATCTGCTTGGTGGCGCCATACCCCGGAAGCAGCAGAAAGCATCACTCCCGAGGCTCGAGAGTGGCATGGGTAGCTTGAGCTTGCCGCCCTCGTGCCTGAAGGCTCGTCGGTGATTTTTGCCGGTCCCCTTTGAAGAAAGCGCAAAAACCGGTTCTCAAAATCGGGGTCCCCCTAAAATGACGGATTCTTGTGTGGCTAAAAAGCTTCTCCAAAGAGGGGTCCCCTAAAATGATGGGTCTTCCTCCAAAATACAAAATACCAACTAAAAGGGGGTCCACGTTTTTAGAAATTCCCATGTGGGAACCCCCCCACTCCCTCACAAAGAGCAGCATGGGTGGAGACAGCTAAGTTGAACCGGATGGCTGCGAGCCAAGAAAAACAACACCGTCTCAAGCTTGGTTGCTGCAACGACCCCCCCGCAAAAAGTTTCTCACTTTTTTGGGGTGTAGTGGAAAACCCCTTGATTTTAACAACATGCTAAAGTCAAAAAAGCCCAGTAGCAGTCAAGACACAAAGCTGTTAATTAAAGTGGAGTCCATACAAAACAGCCAACTTGCACCGGCTGGCTGGGAGCCAAGAAAAAAACAACACCGTCTCAATCCAGACTTCAGACTTCATTTCGCCGTGTCGCGACAGAGTTTGGCCGAGCACTCCCTTGAAGAGAAGCCCGGCGCAGGTCATCACGATCACCGGGTTCGTGGCCAGGTCGTACATGACCTTCCCGATAGGAGGATGGGCTGTCGATAGCTGGCCATGGGTCAAAATCCAAATCGTAGCCCCAGTGAACATCCCAATCCAACCGCTAACATAGGAAGCCTAAAATGAGCGGTGAATTCGCCCAATCCCCAAAAATGGGATCCCATTGGTTTTGACCCACAGCCGAGCGACAAACTTCCAAGGGTGGTACTCTTTTCCTAGTACTTGCTGCTGGTAGGGAATGACCCAGGGTGTCGGGAATGAACCGGAGGGGGATTCCCTTAGAGGAAACCATAGAGGATGGTGTATAGGGGCATTCCCTCGTGCCCTGCTGAGAACCAGCAAGGTTGCCCTCAATACTCTGGAATGAAAAGGTCTTACCAGGAAAGCACTCACACACACTTTGCACCAGTTGGTATGTGGCTCATCCCAGTTTTCATAGAATTGCATCCATCCTGACTGGAAATAATGTTCCATCCACAGCAGGTGAGCAACAGACTGAAGGATGTCTGCCAATGCCCCCCCCGTTAAACGACGGGATTCTCCAAGTGAAAATGGCCGGAACCAAAACGAAGGAGAAAAAAACAAGTATTGCTCTCACTTCCTCAGTGGATTGGCAGCGAAAAAAGAGGCAACATATTTGTTCGCCACCAGAACGTGTCGCTCAAAAAGTGGCGCTAAAGTTCGAACCGGGAGGCGAGTTTTCCGTTTCAAAGGCGAGATGCCGTCTCTCGGGTCCTTCTTTTTTTCATACACATGTTTGCTATGACACCCCCAAAAACCACACGTGTTCAGGATGGTCTATGTTCGACTTTTCCCAGGGGCTCCTTTTTTAGGGCGGAAGGAGATTTCACACCTCCCAAAATCAAATGGTCTATTCTTGTCTTTCGCAAGATTTGTTTCGGGAGGGGGGGTGTTTAGGGGGTGTTTAGGGGCTCCCCTTCAGGGAAGGAGCATAGGTGCGCCTTGTTGAAAAATGGATGGCCCTGGTAAATGGAAACCCCGTCTAAACCAGTGGAACCCATCTATTTTTGGACTAAACTCACCCAAAAAGGACACCTAGGTCCTCCAATAGAGAGGTTAGAATAAGGGTACCAACGTTTTTGTCTGTAGTCTATTTTAGCAGGTGAACCGAATCTCCCAACATAGAAGAAAGGGTGCCTAGCTGGGACCTAGTCTCTAAACCAACTCAAAACACGGATCACTGGAGTTCCCAAATCACAAGTTGATCAAATGTCTCGTGGTTTCCATTGAAACGATCGCCACCTAGAAGAGTCCCCTGTCCGAGCCGCCGTCTTGAAGATGTTCAAGCAGGAGGCGGCCTCCGCGTCTCCAGTGCTGGACTTCAGGGCGCCGCCGATGGCGAAGGCGATCATGGTCAGAGGCACGAAGACAAAGGAGCCCACCAAGGAGTTCCCCGCGATGTAGACCTGGAGGGGGGATGTTGGGATTTGGGATTTGGGGGGAGGTGTGGAGGGGATTGGGGGGCGAGTTGGAGGGAGGGGGGGAAATTTGGGGGGGGGATTGGGGGGAGATTTGGGGGGAATTTGGCTTCTGGGGAGGTGTGGAGGGGCTTCGGGGGCCAGTTGGGTGGGAATTTGGGGAGGGATTTGGGGGGGGGAAGGCACTAGGTTTATGGACTGATTGACGGTCACAAACATTTGTCTGGCAAAAAATGCCGCACGGGGAACGCTCCCTGGTTGGATGGATGGGGAGGGGTTCAGGGAAAGGGTGCACGGTTCATGATTTGCACCAGGTATGGAAACCCACTTAGGAGGTTGTGTAGATAGTGGTTGAACTTGTCTCACTTCGCATGTTGTCAACCCACAAGGCGTAAACGACCTCCTTTGGGTTTGACTTTAAAGTGAACCAGAGGCTGGTTGTTAAAACACATGTTCTGCCCATGCTTTCCTGTACCCATCTGTACCCCATCCAATTCTTATCTCGGGTTTTTGGGGGAGCTCCCAGAAGGCCTCTGTAAATGGAACCAAGTCTTCCATTTCGGGGTCCTGGGAGCTTCCATGTTGAATCGTCTGGAGGGTATTCTAGAAGTAGAGGCTTGCACCCGGTTGCACATAAGCTTCACAATTTAAACCAAATGTTCTGCGCATTAAAGCTGCCCCCCCCCCCCCCCAAACAAAAAAAATATACACGTCGCACCTTTCGGGACAGCCACAGGCACTTCCCCCCAAGAAGACTTCATAGCAGCATGGACCATCCACTCGCGTTGTGGGTGGGCCACCTAGCTCCATTGCACTGCTTTTTAATCCGCGCAGGAAAGGTTCAGATGGAGCCGTGGCCAGCCCAGTTGGTCTCAAATCCTGACTATTCTTGGTTATATTGTTTGCAGTTGATAATTAGAGTCTTATATTCATGCCTTTTATCTTCTATTGAAAATACCTGTTTTTTTCTGCCGCTTTTCCAATGAAACCCAAAAACACGACTCGGCATTCTCAGCTTCACCTTGACCCGCAGAAAGGGAAGCAAAGGCCACTGCTTGGCGGCGGGACGGCGGGCCAGGGTGGGGTCCCAAACTGAAAAATCACCCCACGGTAGTTTTCTACCAAGAGGTATATATGCCGAATCACCCCAGAGTCTTTTTGTACAAAGACACCAAAAGGTGTTGGCTGGGGGTAAAATATTCTGCGCAAATGGAAGTCTTTCAACAACCACCCTGGAGGCACCCTGGCTGTCACCTCTTTAGCAACGCCAATTTCAACTCCAGGGACCACGTGTTTATGTTCATTTGCAGCCCAACTCGAAACGCTTACCAAAACCAATCGAAAAAAGCCATCATGACCCGCCCGCCAACAAAGGCAAACAACAACAGAACCGAAGAGGTCAAACAGGGGCCCCCTTTGGGGGATCTTAAGGGGAAACGAAAGAAAAACCAACCACCTCAAAGGATCAACAACTTCGAGAAGAAAAAAAGGACAAAAGAAGAACACCTGAAAGGATCAAACATTTTGAGAAACATCCAACAGAACATGCCAATTCCCTTCTGTCGAAGGCGCGCTCATGTTCTGCTTCTCCCCGTAGAGGGCATCGATCACCTTGCCCAGACGTGAGGGCAGGTCGCAGCAGCAACGTGCAGGAACCATCTAGTCCCCCTGCATATGGAATATATGTTGTTTTTTTTGTTTTTATCTTCTTCTTTTTTTGTAGGGGGGGTTGGGTGGTACCCCTTTTGCGGGTTGTTTTTTAGCATAATGTCTCAAAACTGGGGGGGGTGATTGGGACGCAAATGGATTTCGGTCAGTTTTCTTCTGGTTTCCCCTTGTTTCAGGCTGGCAAAGTGCCGAGCAAAGAAGCCCCTTGGGTTCCGTCTGCTAATTTGCAGGGAAACGGCAAGAGCAAACGCATATCAAAATGAGCATCGAGCAACACAAGGTCAAGAGGGAAGAGCTACATGAACATAAACTCAGATGCCCAGTGGCCATGGGAAAAACAGAGCATTCTTTCTTGGTTGGTTGAGTTTAAAGAGGAACCTTCCCCCAAAAAATGGAACAATGGTAGCTGGGTTCCACTCCCCCCTACCAAAAGGGGGAGGGGTCCCAAATTCCATTTATCTAGTCTTCCCCGTAAAAAAAAATGAGTTCCCATAAATGGAGATCTCCAGGGGTCGAAATTCCCCCAATGAACCTATTAAAGGGGGTGGGGATGTGGGTTCCACAGTTGTCCCTTGGTGTACCTTGTGCAAGACTCTTGGCTTTCTGGTCCGGGCTGCCTGAAAAAACACGTGCCACGGCCGAAAAGATTCCGAGAAACCCTGGCTCTCGTGAGAAATTTCGAGCTTGTCCCCCATGACCTTGCCAGATGGAGCATTCTGACCGAACCTCAAATGTTGTTATTTGCACACAACATACTCAACAGTTACCCAAAGTCCCCTTCAAACATCACCCAACCCAAACAAAACTCGCTTTGTCAGCAAACCCCTGGCGCATTCGTCAGCCCACCAACAATGACCAAACAATGCAAAGAACAGCGAACAAACAGCAACAAGCTGATGAGAAACAACAAAAAGACATGGGGCGCGCTTGGTGACCCGGTCAAGTTCAAAAAACGACAAGCTGGGGCGAGCTTGTATCACCTGAAGTAGAGAATCCCCACACATAGACAGAAACCTTGGCAAGCCCTGGTCCAGGGAGGGTTGAATGGAAACCCACCCACCTTTCACCGAAAAGCCACGAAAAAACGCCCAAGTCGAGGCCGGGCGATTCGCTGGTTGAACCACACGAACATCGTCCCTCCAAACTGGAGCTCAAAATGTCCAAAGGTGGTTTCTGTGAGCAACGCCTTTTTGGGTGGTGTCCCCACAAAAAGCGAAAGGGCAGAGACACGGCCCCAACCGAACCCAAACCCGCCCCCTTTTCAGGGGGCCCCGCGCCGGCCGAGCCGGAGCCGGAGCCGAATCATCGCATCCAGGGCGCCGGGAAGCCCAGGGCGAAGTCGTTGGAGGCCACGGCGAAGAAGGCGAAGACGGAGGCCGTCAGAATCCTCCGCTCCGAAAACCCGCGGCTCGGAAAACCCCCGGCTCGGGGCCAGCAGGGATTCCCTGAAGCTTTGGACTCGAAAGGCTTGAAAAAAATCCACGGGGAGTTGGCCAGGAGGGTTTTCCAAAGGCTTTGGACTCGAAAAAAAAACACAAAATGGGGGTTGATCCCCATGGATTTGGAATAAACCACCAAACTAAGAAGCCTGAAAAAGAAAAAACACGCTTTTGAACATTGCAACGTGTAAATGGTGGTCTCCGTTTACTTTGGTGGAAAAAGCAACATGTTTCAAATCGGGAAATGTATCCTTTAAGGAGCCCTGCCGCGAGAACAACCCGCGGGGACGTGGCCCTCCGCTGGGGGCTTTGGACTCCCGGCGAAGAAAAAAAAAAGGGGGTTGATCCCATCGATTTGTT